ATAATTTAAGATTATGTTTATAGTGTATGTATATGTATGCACTTGCCCAAGGTATGACAAGCACTTTCTTCCCTACAAAGCACCAACCCATCACTACAACATGTAACCCCCAAAAGACTTTGTTTGGTTCAGGAAATAAGCTGTTTTTTGTGAGAGCAATGGATAAGTGTTTACTTCCATCTGCTAAATAACAAGTGACTTCTCATTTTCTTCTGAAACATCAGTTATTACTCACTAAGGAGGAAGGACCACAACACTGAGTAGTACAACAATTATCTAATCTATATATATGATGATGGAGTGTCAAAGTGACTTTTTCCCACTTTGCCCTACTGTTTAAGCCTAACAGACTTAGGTATTTAAAAACTTAAGTAAATTCCCAAGGGCCAGATTTTTAATGTAGATACCTATAGGAATTTTCAAAAGTGCTGAATCCCCACTACAGTCAAGAAACTGCTTAAGTACTAACAGCCTAGTTGTGTCTTTTTGTATCTTAATACCCTGACTCTTGGACACTTTTGAAAATTTTACCTTGTATTTATTTTCCACTTCAAAAGGCTTATCTGTCTTTACATGCTGTATATCAAATACTTGGCATAGCCTGCTGATGCTATTTTAGGTTGTCATTTAGTGCTGCATGCATCATTACATCCTTTTCTCCACACATAACAACCCTTAGGAGTTTGGTCATCATCTTTAAAGAGGCTTTTAAAACATGTTTGAGCACAAATGGACATGAAGAAAAAGAAATGAAACAATGGACAGAATATTGATCTGAATATTGGATTCTGTATAGCCTCCCATGGAATTCATGAAACATCTACTGCTTCTACAAGATACCAGCACAAGGACAGGAAGAAGATGAATGTTGTAGGAGGACTTGGATCCCAGAGATCCAAACAGTGGGGATGCTGCTCTCAGGAGGTCTTTTAACCCCTCGAAATTGCAAAGGGACAATTCAATCGTGAATGTTCAAATGAATGTCACTGTTTTGCACCCCCCCCCATCCCCACCAGCCATCTCATTTAAGGGTCTTAAAGGAAGAAAATCTCTTTCAGGATTCCCCACATTCAGGTTCATTCACAGCATAGGCCATAAAACAAACAAAAAAAAGTTCTCAGTAGAATCACTGAGCAGAACTATGGCTTTGTGTTAGCTTTGTGTCCAGGTGCTTCCTGACCAGGGATCCTGGTTTTCTCCGATTAAAAAAAAATCCCCAATTTTTGGGTTAAAAAAAGTAACCAAAAATCCATTTTTCCATGATTACAATAAACACCATTACACACACACACACACACACACACACACACACACACACACCATTTCATTTTAATCACAGAAAAATGTGGATTTTAAAAAAGTATATAATATAGTATAGTATAGGATATAGTATATACTTTTTTAAAAAGTGAAAAGTATATAAATGCAGTGGCATTTCATTTTGATCATAGAAAATGTGGATTTGGGGTTACTTTTTTTAACTCCAAAATTGGGATTTTATTTTTATCAGAGAATATATATATATATTAGCCCTATCTGCATATATATATATTCTACATATATATAGCCATATCCAAAATATATATATGCAGATAAGGCTAATCAGCAGTGATCCTGGTTTTATATATATATCTATAGATATCTGTATCTATAGATATCTATAGATATATATATAGATATATAGTGGCATCTCATTTTGATCACAGATAAATGTGGATTTGGGGTTACTTTTTTAACCCCAAAATTGGGATTTTATTTTTATCAGAGAAAACCAGGATTCCTGCTAATCAGTGCCTCTTTCCTACTGGGTAGAGTTGGAAGGGGATAGGAGGGACAGACACGGGGTGTAGAGTCAGCCTATTCCATGCACTGACTTCAGGAATGACCTTTTTAGACCCTGGAAGATCCCTGTCCCCTCAGAATCAGCTTCTGTATTTTGCTGTTCCCAGCTGTTTTTCTTTAAAACAAAGCAAAACAACTTATAAATCCCAATCAACGGTGTAGAATTATGTTTAATGGCTTCTAAGCAGAACGCTTCAGCCTCTAATAATAGACTAGAGGAAATGCTCTAGAGTAAGCAAGCACTAATACTTAAACTGCCTTTTAGATCCAGAAAGAAAGGGCTCTTTAAATCAAGATTAAGATCAGTGGCAGTGCAGTTGAACTGCATTGCAGCTGCCTGTGCAGAATTTGGAGCACATATGAAGAGAATGTGATTTTCAAGCAATGATTCTTTTAAGTCTCATAACTATTTTCACTGAAGGGGAAAATTATGAAAATATGTCTAGTAATTGTCTTAAAACATTAACCTTTTGAGTGAATATGCATTAAGCAGCATGCTTGCATTTTGTCTAAAAAAGTTACATTGATTTTCTTCCTTATTTTCTTGATTAAAACATTTTTCTCTGTACCACCTGGGTCATAACATATGATTCAAATATGAACTCAGTGGCTGTACTAATTAAAAGCTAAGGCTTTGTCTATACTGATCAAAGTACCATGCTTCCAATGTCAAATGATAAGGACCAATATGAAGGTCGCAAGCAAAATAATGTAAGGAACTTAACATAATTTGGTGTTCAGTTAAAGTAAATAATGAGCTTCACAATTTCAGTTTCATTATTAACCATGCTAGATGTTACTGAATACTGTGATGTATGATTTACACTATAATAAAAGTGATATTAGGTTTTTGTGAGACAGACCTATCTCTTTTAGGGATGCTGTATAGTCCTCTGTCTTAAAATTATGCTGTCTTACCCAAATATTGCAGGCTACATTATATCCAAAATTGAAATAAAATTATCTGCAACATGCTGTCATAATCACATTAGTCAAGGAAAACGTATTAGCTTTAACTTCCCATTTTTGTGGTATGTGTGGATAGAGACAGCATTGCACTTTGATCTGTCTTTTAAAAATAGGGGGAGGGTGCAGAGGAAAGACAATATCTTGATCAAAGTATGCTGCTGGCTGCTTCTCCGTCAGCACAGCACTAGTGTATTTTGGCAAGATGCCTGGAAGCAAAGAGCAGTAGTTGGTGTATTCAGTTGCAGTGTGTATACCCAACATAGAAACAGACTGCAGTGAAGCTATGGCCCGCATAGAAAGGAGTAGAGTAAAAATCATCAGGATCTTTAAATACATGGGAAATAATCCTGCTCCCCCCCAACCCCTTTTTTTTGTGGCCACTGTGGTGTGTGATGCAGAAAAACTGGTGCTATTTTAATGCAGCAGGACTGATTCTATTTTAATTCATAGCAGTTGAAGGGAAACTATATGAAGTATTCTGGCATCCTAGACACTCATCAGGCCACTTCCATGCTGTCACAATGAATCTGAGAAGATACATCCTGGGGAAAAGGGGCTAGGAAGTCACAAAAGTTGGTAGCCAAAATTCACTGTTGTAACTGCTAATGTGCGGAGAATCTGTGAATCTATCTCCTATTCTACAGAATCACAGAGACCACTATATTATAAAGTGTTTGGGAGGTTTTTTGGGGGGAAAGTGAAGTTGTGTAATGTTAATCTTGATTTTATGTGTATATGTAACCCTGCTTTACTCAAGGAAGAGAGAGATACTGTCCTATAAAGGAGGCAGAAGAACACTGTGATGGACTGTGTTTCTGTATTTCTGTTCAGTAATGGACAAGTGTTGTAAAAGACCATGTGATCCACTTCTCCATCTCTGGCCCATAGCTTGGCAATGAAGTTCAGTTTAAGAAAAGAGATGTGTCATTGAGTTAGACATATGACATCACCCTCTCAATGTAGGTGGGAAGTAGAAAGAGGAATTATCCCTCTCATCCTGACTAGTAGTTGATACAGTGTTCTGGATAAGGAGAGCATTCTGTTACCTCAACCAAGGGTAAAACAATGGGATTGCTTCCATGGGTAGCTCCAGGAATGAGGCAATGACAACTGTCTGGCTCTTGTAGGAGTTGAAGGAAGTCGGGAGATGATATCTGAAGTAGTGGAGAAGTTATTTCTGTGTCTTGCATATCTTCCCTTAACAGTTTGAAAACTTCCCAGACAGAAGTCACAGTCCTGTTCATCCTTTAGCGCTCACCCAAACAATGAGATCTTGTATATGTCTGGTTTGATTTTTCTCTATTTGGAGGGAGCTGTACAGTCAGATCCATGGTTTTAAAGGTCTCTAAACTCCAAGTCTGATAGTCATGTATTTCAGCAGAACAATTATACAATACACCTGAAGTGTTGATGAGTGCTAAATTCAGGACTAAAAATGTGTGTGCTCTTCCTTTCATATTTTTTTCCCACTTACAGCTTACAAACTATTTAAATTATGCTACAACTGATTCAGGAACTTAAAAAAGAAAGAGCAAAAGAAAGCTTGAAGGTTGTCCCAGATTCACACTATATTTTATTGATTCAGCACCCTTTTTAGATTAAGTTCCCACTCTTAGCTAAAAATAACTTCCTAAACCAAATAAGAAATAAGGAAGTAGGTACCCTTGCAATCACTATTGCTTTCAGATAAATTGGGTTGGACTGTCATTATAGCCTGGATGGTCCAGGAAATGTACAAGAGGCAAGGCACTCAACTGTATAATTGGGAACGTTGCTGGACAAGCTTTCAGGCACAAAGTGCTCTTCTTTAGGTTCCTCAGGAGTTGTGAGGAAAGGCACTTGGTAATTTGTCCAACAATGCTCCCTGAATTTAAATTAAATTCACCCCTCTTCATAAAAAGTTTGAGAATTTAGACTTTGTATTTGGGATTAAGAGGTTCCATTTTAAGAGTGGGGTTTCCTTCCAGCCACCTGCCAGTGATGACCAGGGACTGTGGATTTAGAACAACCACTCTTTCTCTCTGTGTTCACAAGTAGTATCTACTGTCATTCAGAACCCTATATAAGTCTGTTAAACATATGACTGGAAAGAACTCTGTAAATCTCTGAATCCAGTCCTGTCAGTTCAGGAAAATGCAGCTCAGAATCCTTAGGGTGCCTATACACATACATCAAGGCTGCTCCAACACACTGTAATTACAGAGCATTGTAGCAGGCTTGATTAATCAAGTCTGCTCGAGTGTGGAAATTACCGCACTCCAGCAGACTCCAGCATCATGTGTATCAGCATCCCCATGCTGAAAAATGGAGGTGGGGGTACTTTAACTAAAGCTGGTTTTAGACAAGTTTTAGTTGAAGTGCCCCCACCACCATTTTTTAGTGCAGGGACACTAATACATGTGACACTCCAGACACTTTAATTAAAGTGGCTCCTGGAGTTGCTCTAATTAAAGCAGCCCCACTTCCCCCAGCCCTGCCTCCCAGAGCACATGTATAAATACCCCTACTTATTATAATTTATCAATCTCCATCTCAATATTAGTTCAATTGTTTTCTCTCATTACACCTATTTGAAGGCTTTGAAGAACTGCAAGTCTTATGAAACTTAGAAATCTTCTAATATCAGTCTCTAGGATAACTCTACTTACCAACCACTCATAACCATTTGCTCTTGCATCAATACTATTCATAGATTCATAGGTTCATAGATTGTAAAGCTGGAAGGGACCTCAGAAGATCATTGGGTCCAGCCCCCTGCACCAGGCAGGATAGAGAACTGGGGTCAGGTGACCCTAGCAAGGTGACCATCCAGTCTCATCTTGAAGATTTCCAGGGTAGGCAATAGCACCACCCCAGGAGGGAGCTGATTCCACAGTCTGGGCACCCTAACTATGAAGTTTTTCTTAATGTTGAGCCTGAAACTGTCTTCCAGGAATTTGTGGTCATTACTCCTGGTTTTCCCCAAGGGCGCCCTGGTGAACAGTTGTTCACCAAGTCCTTGATGTACTCCCCTGATGTAGTGGTAGGATGCTACCAAGTCCCCTCTCAGCCTTCTCATTCTACCATTTAGCTTGACTATCTGTTTTCCCTCCAAGTGGTTTATCTGCCTGTTGTAGTTACCAAGAGCAATAATATAGCCCCCTTGACACCTTTGTTTCACCAGCTTAAGGACTCCATGCTGAGATCCTTCATTTAGCCTTCTAACTCATATTAAAATCAATGATTGATGGTCTAAATTAGAGGATTAGAGCTCTAAATAAGAGTTAAGAGTTAGATCCTTAGTAACTTTTGAAAATCTGGATTTCAAGCTCTTCTATTCTCCTTTTATAAGATACAGTCTTTGTTTTTCTGATAGTCTTACTAGTCTTCTTTTTACCTGTTCCAGTCTGAATTTATCCTGCTTAGAATCATAGAAAATTAAAGTTGGAAGGGAATTGAAGAGGTGATTTAGTCCAGCATTTCTGAACTCATGGGTTGCGACCCAAAAGTGGGTCATAAGAATATTTGAAAGGGTCACAAACAAATCACTAAAAACCCACAGAAAAGCATGGGTCTCCACTTGCAGGCTGGCAGCATTACAGCCTGCAAAGGGTTGCTTGGGGTGATTGATGCTGGAGGAACGTGGCGAAGTGCTGAGACTGCATCAGGGTAGAGGGGTGGTAGGAAGGTGCCTGCCTCTTCCAGCAGGGGTGAGGGGAAGAAGGGGTGAGGAAGAGAACTTCATGGCTGGACTGGCTGCAGCAGGGCCAATGCAGCTGGGAGATGCTGCTAAGGGGGTGGGATGGGCCATGACCAGGCTGCCTGGAACCACCCTCCTCCTTCTTCCAGTCCATGCCAGGGTGCACTCACTCCAATGCTGTCCACATGAGCCAGAGCCATGGCAGCCACCATGCTCTGGCCCAAGCAGTGCAGTTCAGGAGTGAGGGTCCCCAGCATGGCCCAGGGGGGCAGGGGACAGTGGGTCACTGCCAAGGCTGGGGGGGCAGGGTGAATTGGGACAGGCCATGGACCTTTGCAAGTGAGTCCTTGTTGGAAAAAGTTTGAGAAGCACTGATTTAGTTTAATCCCCTGCTCAAAGCAGGACTATCCCCCACCAGATTATTCCAGTCAAGACTTTGTCTAGCCAGGCCTTAAAAACATCTGAGGACAGACAGCACAATCTCTCTGGGTAACCTCTCTGAATCCTAACTCTACCCTTCAGCCTATCTACTACACCACCCAGCTTGCTGTCATCTGAAAACTTGCTAAGGGTGCACTCCATCCCAACTTTCAGTTCATTGATGAAGATATTGAACAAAACTGGCCCCAGGACTGACTTCTGAGGCACTCCACTTGATACCAACTTCCAACTAGACATTGAGCCATTGACTACTACCCTCTGTGGCCAACAATCCAACCAGTTTTCTATCCATCTTACAGTGCATTCCTCCAACCCATACTTCCTTAGCTTGCTTGCAAAGGAGACCTTATCAAAAGCCTTGCTAAAGTCAAAGTAAATCACATTGTCAGCAGTTGTTGTACAAAGCTTATAAATTAAAACAGAGGTGTGAAACTTTGGTGAAGCTGGAAGCACATACTTCATGGGCCATATGTTGTGGGGGTGATCCCCCTAGGATCACACACACCCCATGACCCCACCCCCAGGCACTCCCCAGCTATTTAGCAGTGGCAAAGGCAGTGCTTAACCAAATGCTGGCCACATGAACAGCCATGAACTAAATCATTAAATGAGACCCACACCACAATTGATCCTTGAAGAGCTGCAATATGAACTCTCTTACAATTTGATATTTCCTCCTTCTGTACAATATGCTGTTGTATCTTTATTATTTCCATACGCTCCTTACATTTCTTAGACTAACCTATATCTTAATCAATAATTTTCCATTGGCACTTTGTTGAATGCCCTACTGAAATCCAGACAGTTTATATCTACTATATTTCCATTGTCTTGAAATTGAATAATGTTATAAAAGATAGATATCAAAATAGGTTGATATGATCTATAAAAAGTAATTGATAGCTGTTTGATATGATCTACCTTTAAACTAGGTTCACCGGGGGATGAAAACAAAAGCCCAGAGAAAAGTAGAGAACCTGAGGACCTGGAAAAAAAATTTGTAAGGGGAAGCACTAACAAAAGCCTTACAATGTTCTCATGGAAAGGATAGAATGGTCAGTAGGCCTGTGCGAAGTGACTAGTATTTGCTTTAGATTCAGATTCAGCCGATTCAGGGGACAGTGATTTGATCTGGTGATTCAAATCACTGTCCCAAATTAATTCAGATGATTTTGGTTCAGAGAGTTGGCTGCCACTGAATCAGCTGAATCTCTGAATTGGATGGACCCCATGCCCTGCCTGCTCTCCCAGCCCTGTCAATGGCTGCCCTGCCCGGCCCCAGCATCCCGGCACTTAAAAAAAAAAGAAAAAAAAAGCCCTGCACTCACTGCCTCCTAAC